CTTATTGTTGCTTATTCTGATGCCGATTGGGCTGGTTGCCTAGACAGTAACCGATCTACGACAGCTTATGCCATTTTTCTTGGTTCGAATTTAATTTCATGGAGATCCAAGAAGCAGCCCACAGTTTCTAAATCATCCACTGAAGCTGAATACCGTGCCATAGCTTACACGGTCCAGGACACATTGTTTATTCGCTCGTTATTAGTAGATATGGGTTTAGTTATTTCTCGTCCTATTCAACTTCACTGTGATAATGTTTCTGCTTCTTATTTGGCGGTGAATCCCATTCGGCATGATCGCAACAAGCACATCAAAATCGATTATCATTTTGTCAGAGAAAGTGTTGCTCATGGAGATCTAGTTGTGAAATATGTCCCTACTCAGTTAAAGTTAGCTGACATTTTTACTAAAATTTTATGTAGTCAGCGTTTTGAGTTTTTACGTGCTAATCTGCGCGTTGTTTCCCCTTCACAGATTGAGGGGGTGTAATAGTTCATAGTATAGGGACATCTTTGTAATTTATTAACTCTTGCTTTATCATAAATATATCACTAGCACACCCTATTAGGGTGAGTAATTATTCCACAATAATCTTTGCATATTTAGTTGGTGTCGGTTTTGTTTTTCCTTTGACTGATGTAATGATCCTGAAATTTATGATATGAAAGAAGGCTAGTTGACGATCAAAAAATAGATGCATCGTGATTAAAAAATCGTGTTTCGTGTATTTTTAGCTAAAAAAATTCTATTATCTTGGGGCCCATTTTTGGAGAGTCTATCACCTAGCTAGAGATGATCTCCCACATCCCCTCTCCACTTTTAACTCCCTTTCCCCTCCCCAATGCAAGAACTAAGAAGTCCAAAATGTCCATTTGTAATATTTTGGACTCAAAATACATTAGAGCTACAAATTGGATTGATTGATTTGAGCCTAAAATGTCTATTTGAGCCCGTTTGATAACATTAAAATCGACTGATTATGTTAAAGTTTATGAAGTTCTGGCTGGAGTGATTGAATTAACTGATTCTGCTGATTTATGAATAAAAAAAATATGTTTTATCAATAAAGATAAAGAAAAAATTGTACGTGGTATGAAATAGCTAAAAAGATCGCCTACAATAACTTCAGCTAATTCAGTCAGAAAAAGTAACTCTAATTTTACTTATATTGATCATTACACAATTCAGCGCGCAAAATCAAAAGTTACGCGTTTGGTGAAAAAATCGATTAATTAGGCTTATAAGCCAAAAAATAGAATCACCATACGGGCTCTTTATGTTAGATATATAGTCAATGAGAGCTTATCTCATCAGTTTGGGCTGACAGAGAGTATGTCCGACTGAGCCCGTTTGAGGGTCTTTCGGGTGGAATTGTTTTATGAATTTTTTGAGCATATTTTTCATCAAGTGTAAATTATCTCTACAATATTTCAACTTTAATTTCAATTGGGAAGTCAGTTAAATAAATTATTAAAACATAATAAGTTTTATACTGGAGTATATTTAACATAAAACACAACATACTTCAATAATTTATATAATTGATTTCACAATTAGATTTTAAGTTGAAGTTTTATGGAGATACCCTACATAGGGATGGCAACGGGGCGGGTTTGGGGCGGGGTTTCACTCCCCCATCCCCGCTATAAATTGTACCGTACAGCCGGCTGTACGGTGAGCACCGTACAGCCGGCATTTTTGTAATTAAATCTGAAGCCGATGACCAAAAATTACGTTCTGCAACTCATCGGATGAACGAATCAGCAGACCATCACTACTGCTTTCTTCCTTCGTACTCGTCCTCGCCAGGTTGAGCGACTCACAGTCCTTTCTTCTCATCTTCGTGCTTGATTGAAATACACAGTCGGGCAGTAATTCCTACCGTCTTCTGCGAATTGCTGGTATACAGCTAACGAAGAAAACAGAGCAACCGTATAAAATCAGTATTTAAGCATTCTAGCATGATTTATTCATTTATTTCTTCTATATTTTTCATCCCAAAAATGAAACAATTAGATAAACCTTGTTGAAGAATGGGACTAGGTTACCGAGAGTGTTGACAGTTCCTAAATCAAGCTGTCATCGTCCTTCTCAGAGCTTTTTCCTTGTCTAGTGCTTTCGCCTAACATAATACACATACGACACAAACATATATAATTGAAGCATTGAACAACTTGTGTGGATCGTTCCATCTTTCTCTTGACTTGTTTAATTAGGTGTCCCCCCCACCTAATATAATTTATCAAAACAAATGAGCATACAAAAATATATATTTGAGCACAATACATATTTCAAATGAGTCTTTGAATATTTTGATACCCATTTTGTAAGTTATGTATGCTCAATTGGTGTTATGGACATGGATTACAAATACTCAAATGTGTATAACGCTCAAAATGAATGAGCATACACAAATGAGCTTGTGAATTTTTTATGCTCATTTTGTAAGTTATGCACACTCATTGGGTATCGCTTTATGCTCATTTTAAAAGGTTGCACATTTCAAACATATCATACTACATTAGAAATGAGTTTTATGTTAAAATCAAATGAGTATAATGTCCAAAATGAATGAGCACACACAAATGCATTTTTGAATTTTTTGATACTCATTTTGTAAGTTGTGTATGCTTATTTAGTGTCTCTTTATGCTCATTTTAAAATGTTGCACATGTCAAGACATATTGAAATTAACTAGAATCGAGTAAAGACATAAATTTAGAGTTTTTATAAACGAAAATAATAATAAAAAGAAAGCGAATTAGAATATACTACTATCAAGTAGAGAACACTGATGCTCATTCTTAGAATTCTAATATTCAAAAGAACAGATTTGATGCTCAACACAATTGCGTTAATGCTCATTCAAGAGTTTTAGCATTAGGGGTGGCCCAAGATCCGTTTGCCCCCCCACCTCCGCCACTAGTCTTGATGCTCACTCAACGAACAAAGTTTACGATTTTCATATCAATGCTCATTTATAAGTTACATATGCTTATTTGGTACTGATGTTATGCTCATTTTTATAATGTCATATCGATGCAAATTTCAAAAAGTATCATATTACATTAGATTCAAATATTGAAGTTCATATGAGTTGATTATAGATATAATTTAATGAGTTTTTATAAAAGAAAAAATAAGAAAAAGAAAGTGTGACGATATATGAAGTTTACATCACAATACTTATTATTTGACTCTCAATGCTCAGTAGAGTACGGCGGATGCTCATTAAAAGTGTATCAATACGTATTAATGCTTATTATTCCTGGGCCGGCTGTACGGTGCTCACCGTGCAGCCGGTTGTACGATATACGTACTCCATCCCCGCCCCATGTCTAAAAAGTTCCCCCATCCCCGCTCCATCCCCCGTCACTCCCAGACCCGCCCCACCCCGCTGTCCCCCACGGGTGCCCCCATATATATTTTTTAATTATCTTATTTGTGTATTTTTTTAATCCATTTTCTAGATAAATAAATATATATAACATTGAAAGAGTTAAACTAGATAATATTGTGTTCGATAAAAGATGATACCGCCAATTTTTAATAATTCTTCAATTTGAATAAGTTCTATGAAGATAATAAAACTAAAAGTATAAGTAAACACATTACCATCATGTATGTCATTCCAAACTTCTCATCAATTATACTACAATTAATTATATATATTATACATTTGTGTGTTCTATTTATTTAGTTTCTCACTTTTAAAACTCATATATCATTTATGATAAATATTTTTAGTCATTACTTATTATTCTAATATAATACTTAATTACGTGGTATTAGTACATGTATGCATGTCTATAAGTATGTGTATGTGTTTGTTATATAGTAATAGTATTATAGTACATACTATGTATAATTTAATTAAATATGTTTATACATTATTAATATATGCATGTATATATGTGTGTGTGTGTGTGTGTGTGTATGTATCTTTGAGTATATATTTATAACGGGGACGGGACGAGGACGGGGACGGGTGTAGTAATCCCCATCCTCTGCCCCATATTTTAGCAGGGTAAAAATATATCACTCATCCCCGCCCCCGCCCCGCCCCATCCTTCCCCAACGGGGCAGTTCTCCACAGGTCCTCGCTCCCATTGACATCCTTAACCAGTTAACCCTACATTTAATGAAAAAGATACTCATTGAAATAAATTTCATCTGAAATATCCTCAAACGGGCTTGATCAGATGACGATTTTGGCTAGAGATGGCAATTGTGACCGATCCAATGGATACCCGCACCGAACCACCCCGGTCAAAACGGGGAAAACCGCATTGACTGGGTAACGGGTATGGGGCGGGGAATACCCGTTTTGTTTTTACGGGTAACGAGGCGGTTACGGTTTTATACATGCCCGCCCCATTACCCGCCCCGTATCCGCCCCATTTATTTTAGTTATATTTTTATTACATTTTTATCTATTATTTGTCCCATGAGTAATAGAAGATGAGATTTTTCTATTTTCATTGAGTATATGGCTAATAGATGTACTAACTATAATATTTCCATGAGAGTTCATAATAGATCTTAATAGTCTTGTTTGATTATTATCAGATTTTTAGTGAATAATTATTTTTTCAGATTAAGTTTTTTAGATTCAAATTAATTTATGTTGTCTTCTTTCTCGTCTTGTAGATATACGAAACTTTACAGGGGCGTCTCATTCTAGAGTTATCTAGGTGATGCCATTTTTTTGCCTTTTAAAATATTATTTTTATATTAAAATATTAATGACTCATTTAATAAAGCGATTACCCACGATTACCCGCGGTTATACCCGTTACCCGTTGGGGCGGATACGGTTTGGGTAAAAATTACCCGTTGGATAATGGGGCGGTTATGGGGCGGGGAATTATCAAATGAGGCGGGTACGATTATATGTAAAACCGTCCCCGAACCGCCCCATTGCCATCCCTAATTTTGGCCCTCTCCCATCATCAATAACGATGTGCTTTTAAATAACGTATTTTGCACAAATAGGTGATACCGAGTAAGGCGGTTGACTATGATTACTATAATCGGACCCATGCTACTACTGATTCTACAGAATTGCTCCCATCCCCAGCCCCAACTACTCCTATATAGGGACTACCCTGTTTTCCTCTCACTTCTCAGTAATTGCTCTGCCGCTTTTATCTTTCCGCCTCCACTCCACATTACGTTCCTTCTTTCTTCATTTTCGTATATACTCCTTCCTCGAATCAGTATCCGTCCAATTCTTGTCTTCCTATCCATCTCCAAATTATTCCCCCAATTCTTAGCTTTGTTTCCGATATTAGCATTCAATAAAGCAAACCAGCCTCCCAGATGAGCTGATCTAATCACTCTGTTTTTGTTGCATTGATTAAGCTGGATCTCTCCAAACACTTTCTTCCTTAGCCGCACAATTATAAAAAACTTCCACAATATGTAACTTTGATTAATCCGGTAATTTCTTCTTCCCCACCCAAAAAAACCCTAAAAAAGTTCGTTTTTCTTCGTTTTCTTCATGTCTCGTTAAGATTTCTAGCTCGTTATCGTTCTGGCTGCAATAGAGGCGGTCCTGTAGCGGCACCTTTAGAAAAACCGGAAAATCATGTAGCTTGGACCGGTTCAGTAGCACGCGAAGCTCTGTTTTCCCCAAAAAAAGAAAAAAAAAACAGTTTATTTGGATTGGAAGGAGGAAATGGCGGAATCGGAAAGTGGAACCCCGACGGCGCCGGCGACTCCGGGCACGCCGACTCCGCTGTTCACGTCCCTGCGGGTGGACTCGCTGTCGTATGACCGGAAGTCAATGCCCCGGTGCAAGTGCCTGCCTTTCGGCGCTCCCACGTGGGGGGAACCTCACTCGTGCCTCACCGACTTCCCCTCGCCGGACGTTTCCCTGTCCCGTAAGGTACTACTTTCCTCACTGCAAGCTGGATTCACTTTTCACTTTATATTTTTATACACTTTATAGTACACAGATAGGGAGTAATTTTGATTCATCCATCCATGTTTAGTCTGGATGAGAAAGGAAATTGCGAGGTGAAAGACATGTGAAAAGAAAGAAAGAAAGAAAGGAGATTATAGTGGATTTATACTGTAGTATATTTTCCACTAGGAAGAGGAGTACTGTTTGATAGAAAGAAACAAGGAATAATTGATCATTGATTGATTAAGAATGCCATATACATCAATTTGAAAAAAAAAACATTGATTTTGCATATGAGGAAATAGAACTTTGGAATAAAAATATGAGTACAAGTCCCTTTCTAATCCCATTTCCTTTTTAGTGAACTTTTTATGTGAAATAACGTAATTTTCAATTTTATATCCTGAATTGTGTAATAATCAAAATAATTAAGGTTGAAATTAGCGTCGTGGCTGATTTTTTTGAAATTTAGATCAAGTATCATTTTGCCAATTTTTCATATAACTTTGTCTTTATTTTATTAATAAAATACGAAGTATATTTAAATACATTTTTCATAAATGAGAAGATTGAGCCTCAACCACTTTAATCATAATCTAATCTTATCAATTTCAACAAATTTAGTAAATGGGCCCTACATTTACAATTAATAGAATTGGATCATTGATCATCGCAATATTCACTAAAGAAACTCAAACTTTTTATAACTTCCATCCTTGTCTCATGATAAATATAAGTTTCAGCTAAGATAATTAAGTTAGTGTGGATAATTAAATTTTATATGTACAGAAAACTATACTAATAATGGTACTCGTATCAAATTGCAAAAGAAGATTTTAATTTAATAAAAGTTTGATATAAAAATTACGTACTACTACGTAGTAGATAATAAAATTTAATTTAATTAAATTTTATTACACAATTCCTCATTGACTGAGGAATTGTGCAATAAGGCCTACTTCTATAGAGTTAATACAAATGAGAGGATTTATATACGTAGTACCATTTTATCTTTTATATAATTCTCTGTAATCAATATTTTACTATAGCATATATGGATATTTTCTTAATCTGATTGACATTCTTTGTCAATAATTTGTGTCCACATAACAAATTTATGTGCCTAAATAAAAACTATGAGTTGGCCGGTTGAGGATGTTTCTTTGAATTTGTAGACATGCAACTTTGTTAAAGCGGAAAAAAATTTCGCATCTCATATCTGAATTTATGTCTTCGCTCAATCTATGTTTGTCTGTATCAAAATAGATGTCTATTCCATATTTGCCTATTTGGTCATAAAAAATGGCTCATATATTCATGATTAATTTTAGAAGTTCAATATCTAACGCAATTTTACCTTTTTTCAGTCTTATGTCAAACTTCTCGTCCCAACAGGCGTATAACTTTTTGTGTATTTGTGGCCATAAATTTTTACGTATATTGGCGACAACAAAAATGGGGTGTGAAAGATGAACGTACAAAAGTGGATACAAAAAGCATTTTTGAAGAAATGACAAAGGCAAAAAAACAGTTTGTTTCTCTCTTATCTTTCTTCGCACTTGCATTAGATTGGGTCATTGGGACCTAGTTGTTTTATTTTTATTGCTCCAGTCTGTTTCAATTGCCAAACGGGGCATTATTCATTTTTGTCTGGGTCATCTCCTATCTCATCTTTCTTCTCTCAACTCTCTCGTTCTACCTAACACAGCTTAACCAGCTTTCCTATTTGTCGTTCAATTGACACAACGAAGTTCCATCACACCAAACGCGGTTTTGACTAAAACGTACTTCTTGAGTTCTTTCGTCCCTAGACTTAGATAAAAGAGATATTACCCGAAATAGAACTAAAAAGGTTTGACAATTCCAAAAATAGGACTGACATGTTCTTATTCCCAAAATAGGACCAATTACTGTCAAGTTTTGGCAGTATCAGACTTCAAACATGGCAGTATTTTCCAAACTTGACATTAATTACTCATATTTTGGGAATAAAAAACATGACAGCCCTATTTTGGAATTTCCAAATTGTTTTAGTCCTATTTCGAGAACTTTTCCTTTTATAAATGTGACTTTCTAAATAACGCTTTTTAAATCTTACTAAAGGAATTTAGAATACTTGTTTTGTATTAAAAATATAATTTATTTATAAATATTAAAGTAGAATAAAAGTAGCTATTAATTACCGAGTACTCCTTCTGTCCCTGAAAATACATCCAACTTTCCTTTTTGGGGGTCCCAAAATAAACTTGGGAAAAGTACGGAAAAGGTACTTGTGCTTGGGGCCGTTTTCAGATAGGGTCATGTGTTTCATTCTTTATCAAAGTGGTTCATGTGTTTGAATTCCGTTATCACAAGAGGGTCACGCCGTTACAAACGTCTGAAAAAGACCGTTGAGAGTAACTCTGATTTTCAAAAGTGTCCGAAAAATTAAATGAAAAATACCGGAAGATGTGCCTCAATAAGACGACCGCTAGGCCATCTTTCTTTTTTGTTTTCAGCCACCCTTGTCACCGGAAAGTTTACCGGAAAAGTGATATTAGAAAAATGTTTTTTGAAAATTAATTCAAACAAATCTGAAAAATCAAAGGCGAAGGTGGTTTGAAGGTCATCTTGATGAGGCGCACCTTTCGGTATTTTTATTTTAATTTTCCGGGCACTTTTGAAAATCGGCGTTACTTTTAACGGTCTTTTTCAGACGTTTCTCTTGTGATAACGAAATTCAAACACATGAACCACTTTGATAAAGAATGAAACACATGACACTATCTGAAAATGAGCCCAACCACAAATACATTTTCCATACTTTTTCCAATAAACTTCCATTTTTCCTTTTTAGTCAAAAATTTGTGGTTCACGGCAATTCTTACACATTTCTCTCTCCTCTACACAACTCTCCACCACGCAATACCCACTATCTTAATCCCCTTGCCATTTGTATTATGGAAGAAAATTTAGGGACGGAGGGAATATTATTTTAGAGTGAGTGTCAATTTTCAGTAAAAAAACACAGTATTATTAGAACAAAGTTGTTACTCCATCATTCCTAATATCTATTGTGCTTGACAATGCTCCACTGACTGTAAAGTTAATTGTTCATTGTCCATACCGATAAAATGTGAATTAATAATTTTAGAAGTTTTGTTGAACAATAAAAACATGTTCTAATATAATAATCCGTAAAAGATTTGATAGAGTATATAATTAGATATTAAAAGATCACTCGGTAACACTGAAATTGGTCGAGTTTTAAAATCTATGCTGAAAATTGGTCGAATTATGCTGAAATTTATAAAGGCCCTGTTTGGCAATCGGCTGTTAGCTGTTAGGTGTTAGCTGGTTATGACAGCTGATTAATAATAGCTGGTTGTGTCAGCTGTTTTAGTTGGCTGGTTTTGTTAGCTTGTTGTCAGCAAATGTTTGGTAAATTAGCTGTTTAAGAATAACTGTTTGCGTGTAAAAAGACATATAAGGACATTAGTATTTTATTTTATTTGTAGCTATTGCTTCCAAAAATAAAATTACCTACATTTACTCAAAGAGTATAAATCATTCAAATTTTAGAAATTGACAAATACGACTACATGAAAAATAAAGTAAATTAAAACTGGCATGTTAAATTAATTTGAATAATAGGAATTCAAAAATCAAGTTTGATCGTAATTTAAAAAGACTAAATAAACTTTTAGTTTATAATAAAATCAAGTTTAAAAAATGCTCCATGTAAGCATTACTGCATTAGGATGCACAAACGTAAAAAAAGTAATAAAGCATGACACGTGTGCCTCACTAGTGTGCAACTGTGCACTGATTTGACAAAAAAAGGTGTGTTGCTATTACGGATTTACGGAGGGCATAGAAGGAAGATATGGAGCAGCCAACGCAAAACGCTGCACATGCTAGCGTTTTCACTTTTAGCTGTTTGGGTTGAAGAAGCTAAATTAACTAGCCATTTACCAAACAAACAATTTAGCTGTTTAGATGGTCAAACCCATTAAATGTAGTCAAACAAGCCAAAAGTTGGCTGAAAAGCCATTTTCCAAACACACCCAAAATCTTAGCTGAATAAGCCAAATCGGCTTATTCTGTTGAATTATTGAGAAATTATATTTAAAATGTATTTTATTACAAATAAAGAAAAAAATGAAAAAATAATTAAAATGATTTTCTACATTAATTTCACTCAATTCATCCAGAATAGTAACTTTAACATTTCTTATTTTGGTGAAAATATGTGTCACCAAAGGGGCCCTAAAACAGGGTTTTATCTAGGAAAAGTTCCCGAAATAGGACTAAAACAATTTGGAGTAATTACTGTCAAGTTTGGAAAATACTGTCATGTTTGAAGTCTGATACTGCCAAAACTTGACAATAATTGGAAATAAAAAAACTGCCAATAGAAATGCTTTTAATCCCTTTCATTACATCTATCACATTACTTCTGACCAAATTATAGTTGTTGATTTACATAAAAGTTATTAGTACTAATTTACTTATGTAATAAATTAATTACCAAACATTCTTTTCACCCACTGCCCCCCACCACTGAAGCACTTGCACTGGTTTGTGGTGATGGAGGGTTCTATTTGTCACCCCATCCGCACTAACCATCCACCTTCCTCTATTCTTCATTACTTACACATCCTTTTGCACCATCCGAACGAACTTATGATGGCGTTTTATTCAACGAATGGGGAAAGAAGTGAGTGCATTTTAACATTACCTTTATTTGACGCTTTAGAAAGGAGGGGAGACTATTTAGTGATAATTGTTTGGTTGTGAAGAGAAGAGGAAAAACAATACTCCATTGTACAAGACCAAATTTTCTGATCTCAACTGCTTTGGTTTGATGATCTGATTTGTTGAACTATTTAAGTATATGAAGTTTAGCTTGGCGCCTTGGTCTGATCTAATTTGATCTAGTATGAGACTAGAACTATTCCATGGAAAACAGTCGAGAATATTAATTTGTTATCCATAATAATATTAAGTTTACATTTTTTTCGAAAACATTCTGTTATCTTCATTTGAACATTTGAATATAATAAGTAGAGTAATATACAATTGTGAATAATTTTTTTCCACAACAATAAGAATTATGAATATCAAGAAAGAGATGCCGTTCTAAAGAGGGAAATAGGGAATCAGAGATGTTTGGTGCAGCATAAGTGAAATTAACTACTGTTTTATTGTCATCACTTTTTACTGGGTACGAGTTTCAAAAGGTATAAAGTTATTGAAATATGATCCCATCGAATTGGATTTATTCTAGTTCATATAGTGAAGCTCACCCCTTTACAGATTTGTTTGTGAACTAATTTTACTTTTGGTGGCACTAGCTTATAATGGGTGGAAGGAAAAGTCAAAACGTATCAAATGGTGTGATTGACCCATGTGCCCATTGATTATATTCAATAGCTTTGCATTCACAAATACAAAATAATGGAAGACTCACAAGGTTGCAATGATTGCTCAAATAATATTGATAGAATGTGAACACAATGCTTCCCAAAGCACTCCTCCCAATCACAACAAGTAGACAATATACTTTTTTTTTTAATATTGGGTAGTCCATAATTGACCAAGGCTTGGTAGTATTAAGGCATTCTAATACAAAGATACAAACTAACATATAAAGTATAACTTTTTATGCGTAAAAACACCAGAAAACCAGTTTATGACTGCTACGGTCCCTACAATTGATTTGTGTAGCTTGCGGCGGAGTTCGTAGGGACGTTTATCCTGATATTTGGTGCAACAGCGGGGCCCATTGTGAACCAAAAGTACAATGGTGTGGAGTCACTAATAGGAAACGCTGCCTGTGCGGGGCTGGCGGTTATGATCGTCATCCTCTCCACTGGGCACATCTCGGGAGCTCATCTCAATCCTTCCCTCACCATTGCCTTTGCTACGCTCCGCCACTTCCCGTGGCCTCAAGTGCCGGCTTATATTGCTGCCCAGGTCTCGGCATCCATATGCGCCTCCTTTGCTCTCAAAGGTGTTTTCCACCCCTTCATGGCTGGTGGCGTCACCATTCCTTCCGTTGGCACTGCCCAAGCTTTCGCCCTCGAGTTCCTCATTACCTTTAATCTCCTTTTCGTTGTCACGGCCGTTGCTACTGATACTCGTGCGGTGAGCTAATTAATTAGTACACATCTATTTTTAATTTCCTTTTTCACTGTTTCTATTTTACTGGCCTCCATCTTGACATTCTATTCCTTAATCCTTATTTATTTTTGTCACCATTTTATTTAATGGAATAGGTAGGAGAACTAGCAGGAATAGCAGTTGGAGCGACAGTTATGCTCAACATTCTAGTAGCAGGGTGAGTAAACTTCTTACCAGCTGTTGTCAGTACTTTGCTCTAAGTTTTTTGGGTTTAGCTGATATGGAATCTCTACAATCCAACTACTCATGGCCTCATGGGCTCATGGCCGGTCCTATACTCCTATGGGATGGATAAAAAGGGCATGTGCTCTAGAGGACTTGGTCAATGGACATATAAATAATTGATAAATTAATGGGCTTTAAAATCTGTATCGTGAAAATTAAGAGTTAAAACTCTGTTTTTAACATGTATTGAGAACTTTTAAGAGAACTCTGTAATTTGGTGAAGTAATAAATGAAGTTGGACTATTAATAGGAGTATTACAAACCAGGACAAATGAATTGAATAAAATAATTTGGAAGAACGTTACAAATATGATACCACTCCGTATGATACAAAAATATGACCAGCTTTTTTGAAAAAAAGGGGCTTTTTTGTTGAACAATAAACTTGTTCAAAATCCCCCTCCAACATCCGAGCTCCTCTGTCTTGCTTAGGCGGGCAAGGAGGTGCCCGGCCATTTCGGATCATCAGATCAAAAAATCAATGACATAAGATGAGTGGGTCCATTTTTTGACACAAATCTCAGAGGCGTGAAGATTAATCCATGCCCTCTATTTTAATCCCCCAACATCCATGCACCCAACTGCATCCATTTGGTGCCGTTATGAGCAGAAAAGTCACCAAGAAAAATGCGCTCAAATTAGACATGTGGGAGAGTGTCATTGACAGTTTTAATCATTTTTAAAACTTACTATGTACTTATAAAAAAACAGTTACATATATTCCATAATATCATTGTAATATTAATTAATACTACCTCCGTCCCAATTTGATGTTCCCAGTTCCTATTTATTTGGTCAACACAAATCACTCTTAACCTCTTACTTTATATATCAAATTTTTATCAAATTTGATTCTGGTTTTTGTGACTTTGTAAAGATTTTAAAGTAGTTTTTGAATGTGTAAAAAAATTCTAAAAATAATTTGAGTGTTTACTGGGATCCGTTTGATTTATCGTCAGTTAAGCATCTTAAAGTGCAACAGGAACATCAAATTGGGATGGAGGGGTAGTATTATAGGGACGCAAAATAATTAACTCAGCTGTCAACTGGTCACGACCACAAAAATACAACGAAATGTTCACTTTTGCTATACCATTCAAATATAGACACTACCATTAAAAAAATCTCATTTTGTTCATGACTTTGAATCTTTTAATATATTTGTCACCATTTCCCCTCAAAAGTCAACATGTGAAGATTTAATTAATTAGTAGATGCAAATGGTTTTGGTGTTTGAATAACATACTCGGTCAATTCGTGAAGGCCATCCAGCGGGGGTTCGATGAATCCTGTGCGCACATTGGGGCCAGCAGTGGCAGCAGGAAATTACAAGTCACTATGGATATACCTAGTGGCACCTACTCTTGGGGCACTTGCCGGAGCAACTGTCTATACGGTGGTGAAGCTGCGGGAAGAAGACGCGGTACCTATTACGCGCCCGAGGAGTTTCCGCCGCTAATCAACCTCATTATCAGCTCGGCGTATCCTACCATGATCCCATCCATCCATCCATCCACCTATCTGCCTGTAGTACAAAATCCATGTGAATAATTAATAAAATGATCGAGATTGAACTCTTGAAGGTTTACAAGTAACTTCAAGTTTGGTCTCCTACCTATATGCGTGTTGTGTTATCCCCATTTGGTTTGTATGTGAAAATGTAATGAACAGAATGAGTTTGCATCTTGGTTTGATCATGTAATGGTGTGTGACTGTGTGAAAATAATGAAGGGGGAGTCACTCTCTCACACGCTCCCCCGTACGTGCTTCAAATATAGATTGTAATAATATATCGATATATAATACTTGTGTGTTGTTTGAGTGCTTAGTGTTTGTGCCCCAATATAAAATGCAGATATATTATTTACTTAATTTACTATTGAAAATACAATCACATATTATCAATTTATATTTTGCAACAATGATTCAAGAATTGTGTATGTACAACACGGGCCATACCCGAAAAAGATGTTATTTCAACCATGCATGCAAACATGATCATTCTTTATTGTAATTTAAGGTTCACTATGTAGTTTTTGATTCAGTAGGTGCAAGTGTGCAACGATAAAAACATTCATGGATATACTGAATTAAATACTTAATCTTATTAGCTTTTTGTTTTTATGTGGGTGTAGAAGCGGTTTTGGAATCAGATCGGTGGCATGTTTTTGGGTTTTGGACTAGAAATCTAGAATTGGACCCATGCAATCGATTTTGTTTTTCTGAAAACAGGCTAAAAATAAAACAAAAATTGAGTGGATCAACTGACCAAGAATAATGTAAGGAAACCCGTATCTCACTCGAGGTTTGTGCCCCCAAGTGTTACCTAATTTAAAAGGTTAGAATGGTCTTATGATGGACTAAAGTCAGGGGCTACGTTAGGGGTATATGGGGCCATGGGGTGTTTGGAGATGCTTCTAAAAATTCTTAAAAGAGCGGAAGCAAACATTAGAGTGTTTGAGTAGAAGTGCAGAAATACTTCGGAGGGCTCAAAATTGTTCCTAGCTAGAACCAGTTTTTTTTAGTTGGGGGAGACTAATAGTCTAATATCTCAAAAATTGATTCTGATTCTACTCCTGATTTTAAAAAGGGAAAAAGTACAAATAGGCCCATGTACTAACAAAAAAAGGTCAAATAAGCCCTTATTTAGGAGACTCTGTCCGGCTATCGTCATTTGGGGTGGTTCCCGTTGGAATTTTTTGATGAATTTTTTTGAGCATCTTATTCATCAAGTCTAGTTTACTCATACCAAATTTCAGCTAAAACTTCAATCGGGAAGGCATTCAAATGAATTTTTGAATATAACTGCGCTCGTTAAAACTACCCCATGATGGGTTGAAACTAGTATTTTTTTTTTCATTTTTCATATTTAGCCCATCTCGTTAATGATTAAAGGGAGATTTACCTTAATAGGATCAAAACATGGTTTTTTTTTCTCAAAATAGGAGTACCTAGTTTAAACATCTTTAAATAGGACTTTTTATTAGTGATTGGACCAAAATACTCCTCACAACCTTTACCACTGCTGTCCAGGGACTGCCGGACCGCCGCCTGCCGCCGGAAAAATTCCAGATTTTTTCTGGAGGTTTGCCAACATTCTGCCGCCACCTGCCGCCGGCCGCCAGAAACCGCCTCTTCTGCTGCCGCCACCTCCGGACTGCCCCGCTACCAACAGACTGTCTTGGTTGTGCAAGAGAACTGGGGGGGGGGGGGGCAATTAATTGAGTTAATTAATTGCCGGAGTTGCCGCCGCCGCCGCCGCCGGAATCCGCCGCCGGCCGCTGCCGGAGTGCTACCACCACCACGGACTGCCCCGCCACCGACGGACTGCCTTGGTTGTGCAAGGAAACTAGGGGGGACAATTATTTAGATCAATTAATTAATTAAATAGAATTAGGGGCAGTGGCGGATCCAGGATTAGTACTTATTGGGGGCATATTGTTTTAGATTATCAATATAAATTGCTTCCACGTACAGTTTTAGGTAGCAAATGATATCAGGTAGAAGTCCACATAAGTTTGGTAACAAGATGTTTTTTGTATTAATTTTCTATGTAAAAAAATTATATGGATGAGTTATTGTCCATGTGTACCTTAAATTAAATTCTTATTTACATAATAATGTGCTTTAATGTTTTTTTTAGTAGCGTTTTTATACTACTACGGTACTACCTCTGTCCTACTAACATTCAGACATGAAGAGGTGGTGCTATTATATATTAAGAAAAACTAATTTACGTGGTTAATATTGAATTGATAAAGTAAGAATGATTAAGAACTGCACAAACTTTACTATATTTGGTATGAGACACAATCTTAGCGAGATAGAGAAAGTACTTCTTTTGTTCTGTTAATCAGCTAAGTTATACGGAGTATACATTACTTCACCATTTTTGTACTTTTCTAGATGATCTAATTGAACTTTGTTGATGCATTTTTATCATTATATAAATAGAAACCAATTTAATACTCCATCATTCTTTATTAAGAATGTTTTTGCTTGGACTTATTTCAGTCTCAAACCAGAACATATCATATCTGAATTAAAAAGACCAGATCAGCTCAAACAAAACCACACCTTAGACTTGTATCTATATGAGTAATATATATAGAATTCCATAAGTTCATTTTGACAAATAATACACTAGTTTAAAGCAATGCAAAATATTCACACAAACCAATACACACAAGTATGTAACCGATGGTTATATTTTATTAGAAATGTATCAGAGAATAATTTTGTTATCACTCTCATTTGTTAAATTGCAATATTTGACTCTACCGAGTTAGATCATTTTCATTCTTTTTAATATAATTTGTTTTAGGTAATATGAAACGCCTAACTAAGTTATTTATAAAAAATTCTTCGGAATGTTTATCATCTCACAAGTCACAAATGGTTATTGGGGGCAAGACCAAAAAATTATTGGGGGCAACTTCTCTCTTTCAAAAATAAAATTAATAAAATTAATATAATATTAGCTTGCTAATGAATGTTTATTGGGGGCATGTGCCCCCACTCCTCAATGAATAGATCCGCCCATGATTAGGGGTAAAAAAGGTAAGGTTAGTCCTATTTAGAGAAAAACATGCATGTGGTCTTATTTTGAGAAAAATGTTGAGTTTTAGTCCTATGTTGGACAATTTTCTCATGATTAAACCTACTATAATTACCTTTCAGCTCATCCCAATTCAGTGGATCTGCCCTTGCATGCCTCCTGATGCATCGATAGTGTATGTTGATATATGTTCACCCTAGGACACAATTGTTGGGTGTGTTTCGGAAAATAAAGAAAATTAATTAAAAGAAATTAATTAAATAAAATGACAAAAGAAAACAGAAATGAGATGGAGCAGAAATTTGTCAAAGCTCGTGCTACGCACGATGTCCTTAAAACGTATTTGTTGCCTCCCACGGTGCTAGGAGCGTTGCAACAATAGTTTCCCAGGATACGATGACAACGAACTAATGTTTGAGCACACAAACAAGAGTTCCAACGAACGAGAACAAAGACTGAACACAGAAGGAATTTTCAGAGTGCTAGCAGTGTGTTTTTAGAGCTAAAACGTGTATGGAGTGCAAGAATGCGTGTAAGAACGTGTATTGTTGCAAACCACCTGCCAGCCTTTATATAGGAGGATTTGTTGTATGAAAATAGTGAATTAATGGACCTGAACGTTGGACATCAATGACCAGTCCGTTGGGCATTGAATCGTCCATGAACTGTCCATTTAACGCTGCATTAAAAGATATAAACGTTGGGCATTTATTGCTGTAACGGTTCAGAAACCATCAGAAGACCCCTGCGTAGTTCTGCCCGAAGGTCATCAGAACTGGAGCAGTTCTGATGCGCGGTCATCAGAACCGGAGCACCTCTGCCCGAGGGCCATCAGAACTGGAGCAGTTCTGATGCGCGGTCATCAGAACCGGAGCACCTCTGGTCGTGGCCTTCTGCCCGGAGCAATTCTGCTAACTGGGAAAAATATATGTTTCGGGAAGAAAACAAAAATTACCCGTATCTCTTGAGAGATGGATTTTTGGACGACATTCGTGTCCGCAGGTCGCCCGCGCACGCAAGTCGCGGTTTTTCTTCTCCGAATTCGGGATTTGATTTGCACCCCCCCCCTGCGCGCGTGGAGAGAGCCTCTACCCTAAGGAATCTTAACTCCTTAAGGGGGGAGTCCCTTTATAAAGGGTTGCAAATCCCTTGGGTTTTCCGGTGTGGGAAATTAACACTAGAAACCCATCCTTTTTCCCAGTTTTTCCATTCTAACGGGTAAACTTCGAAAAGCGATTTCTCATTCACCCGTTATCCGTTTTGAGCGTACCATATATCGAATTGTAGCCCTTAACAAGGACAATCCGAAACCACTTTGACCCGACCCAAATCGGAAGTGGACCCCACTCAAAAAATTGCCCCAAAATAGCCATTTAATGCAATTTTTCACACATTTTTCCAACAATCCCCCACATGAATGAAAATTGATTTTCGAGACTTAAAAAGACACGAAGATAGGAGGACACGTTGTGTTCACCGGATGATCCTTGTATACGGAGAGGTAGGTTTAATCCTTTGAACCTTCCGCCGTAAAGACACGTTTATTTACTGGCTGTCTAGTAGACTCGATGTCTTTGAACTATACCGCCGTCGTGTAAACATTGACTTATCTTTACACAAGAACCTTCCAACTTTGTTCCGTTCTCATGGGTGTGCCCGTTTTGGCCATGGGTCACCGTCCTGGTTCTGCAAGAGTTTCTAAAGAACTGAGCCTTTACAGTTCTCCTTTGAAGCGGCCCTCTTCTCTCTCACATAGGTGATTCTTTCACGAGTATCCCGCATACTCTTCCAATGTTATCGAGTAGATCAACATTTTAGAATCATTAAAGCAAACGTTTTTGCTAACCTCGTGCGGGAGTCACTGTTTCAACGAGGAGTGGGTAGGAGTCCGGGACCCCCACAGTGACCATCCTTCGCACTATAATTTAGTTGTCCCATTTGAACCTAGGACCAACTAGGTTGGGTATCCACTATAGAACTTTTCAATTCACGGGCTTTAATCCCATTCCTCGTGTCAACTTCTCCAACAATTCTCTATCCAATGCCTTGGTTAGCGGATCCGCTATGTTATCCTTTGACTTCACGTAGTCAACAGTGATAACACCCGTTGTGAGAAGTTGTTTAATGGTATTATGTCTACGACGGACGTGTCTAGACTTACCATTATAGAGATTGCTCTGTGCCCTTCCAATTGCCGCTTGACAATCGCAATGTATGCATATTGGAGGGACAGGCTTCTCCCAACTTGGAATATCCTCGAGAAAATGGCGTAGCCATTCAGCCTCTTCAGTGCACTTATCCAAGGCTATTAGCTCAGATTCCATCGTGGATCTAGCTATTAACGTTTGT